AACAGACATGTATTGGAGATCACTGGACTGCATGCTGCCATGTGGCCAAGCAACTGAAGGCAACTATGTGCCATTATCTGCGGCATCATGTGCAGCTTTTGGACCAGGTCCCTCATCTTCTCAAATCTTTCGGTGGGCAAGGAAGCTAGTCGAGTTGATCCTCTAAAGATTGTACGGACTGCACCAGTGTGAGTGTGACTGTTTCGTTTATCATCAGTAGGCCCAAAGAGTGGAAGCAAGTTGTAACTAACTGAGTCTCATAATGGGAGCGTGCCTGTGAGCTGGACTTGATAAGGCGGTGTAACGTTTCGCCCCATCCAAAGGGGAATATGTCACATTTCGCCCTGTCCAACGGGCCCTATCTCTGCACCTTGCTCTGTCTGTCCAAATTGGCTCTCCGGTTACCAACCGGGGCAGAGGGGACCTGGGCCCACCCCCTCTCCAGATCCCAGCCCAGGACCCTAAGGGTAGGCATTCAAAACGCACCGCCCGACTGGGGGGAGGGGAAGGCCTACGCCCGCAACTCACCGGTTCCCGGGGATTTCCGACCCTGTCCTGGGCTGCTTCCTCCAACCCCTTTGGTTCCGACCTGCCTTGCTCAGTTTGGTAGGGTGCCAGGCGAGACTCACCCTCTCTAGTCGAGGGGGTCCTCTGCTGCCAGTCCTGGTGCATCTGCCAGTCCCGCAGAGTTCCTGGCCGGCTGCACCTGCCGCCGCACCGCTCAGCAAGGTCTCCGCCTCTCCTCCCCGAGCTCACGGCCGCCTGGCTTTTGAACCCAGCGCTCCTGGCCTGGGACGCCAGCGCCTGTGCCCTGGGATGCCGGGTCCTCCCCAGAGTCGGGCGCGGTGGCCCGGCCGCCAAGCAGGCTCGGTAGAGCCGCTCGGGCTTCCTGGCGGCTGCGCCCCATGGCACCCAAGTGCAGGGTGTGGGGTTAGGGCATGCGATCCCCACCGCCCCGTCACAGGCGGTCATTGAGATAATGAAAAATAATGACATTGAGTTTCCTTTGGTAGGTGATGACTATTGCAAGTATTTTGGAAAAGATCCTAGGTGCCATGAAGAGTCCAAATGGCAGGATAGTATTGGTAGTGGCATTTACCTAGCACAAAACAGAGAATACACCTATGAGCAGGATGAATGTGCACACAAAAACAGGCATCCTGTAAGTCAAGAGACGAAAACTAGTCATCAGGCTACAGAACAGGAATGATTGTATTTAGCATTACCATCTTGAACTTTTGCCTTTTTACAAATTTGTTAAGGGCTCTAAGGTCTAAAATGGGTCACCATCCACCATTCTTCTTTTGAGGGAGGAAGCAGTGTGAGTAGAATCCAGTCCCCTCGTATCCCTGTGGGACTAGCTCTATAGTGCCAAGTCTAAGAAGATGGTCAACTTCATGTTGTGGGATATTGTCATGAGATTGGTCCCAGAAGAGGATGGGGAAGGGGATGGGGAAGGGGAACAGAGATAAATGGGATGGTATATCCTGAACTGATTGATTGAAGAACTCATTTGTCTGCCATGCTGTGTAAAAAGGGCAGAAGATGATGGTTGAATGGTTTCTTAGAAGTTAGTAGCTCTGAAGCAAGTGAAAGTGTTTTCCGTACCTCAGCTGAGGCCTCAAATTTGTTTATTTTGCTGAGACGGCTGATTTGCAGTGCTAGTCTGATTGTACCTACACTGCTGCCTGCCCCAACCCCGTTGTTGATGAGGCTAGTGTTCCTGTCTCTGCTGGTGGTAAGTATATGAGGGATACCTGGGTCTTGGGAAGGGTTGGTATCTAAATCGTCACCTTCTATTTGCAGATATGTGAATTCCCAAGGAATATACTGTGGCTCGAGTCCTTCATGGAATGGAGGACTTAGTTGAAAAGAGCTTCTTGCCCTCAAAGGGAAGGTCCTGCACTGCAGACTATATATCCCTTAGGAAAGCTGAGGAGTTAAACCAGGAGGCTCAGCTTATAAAAACTGCCCTGGCTGTCGCCCCAGTGGCCATGTCAGCAGCATCTAGGGTAGCTTGTAATGCTGTACGTGAAATTGCATGTCCTTTGGAGATCACCGCTTTAAATTGCTGTTTCTTTGACTCCAGTATATCGTCAATAAAAATATTGAACTTCAACTAGTTGTTGAAATCGTATTTGCTAAGCAATGTGGCATAGTTAGCAACTCACAACAGAAGTGTGGAAGACCTAAAGATCTTTCTCCCAAAGAAGACTAGTCACTTGCTATCCCTGTCAGCTGAGGTGGACCGGGGCTGGTGGTGTTTATTTCTCTGGTGTGAAACCTCGACTACCAGCGAATTAGGCAGCAGAAAATCGGATCCCTTAGGGGGAACCTAATATTTTCTATCAGCCCATTTGCAGGTGGGCAGTATAGTTGTGGGAGTCTACCAGATCATATTTGCAGGGTCCCTAAACACAGGATTTATAGGGAGTACGACCTTGGCTGTAGGAATGGCCTGTAGAATGTTGGTAAGCTTGAGTTGGGTTTCAGAGACCTCCTCCATTGCAACGTTGAGATCCGCTGCCATCCTTTTGGAGATCTCATGAAAGGATGTGAAGTCGTCCGCCGCTGTCAGAGGTGATGGCATTACTGCTTTGTCCAGTGAAGGTGATGAATTGGTGTCAGCAGAATTATCTGGCCCTGATTAATGGTTTTGCAGATCTGGTGCATCCTCTGAGGAGATGGAGACTGGAATCAAGGGGAATCATAGAATCCTAGAACTGGAAGGGACCTCGAGAGATCATGAAGTCCAGTACTCTGTCCTCACGGAAGGACCAAGCATGGTCTATAACATCCCTGATAGATGTCTGTCTAACCTGCTCTTGAATATTTCCAGGGAAGGCATGGGCTGTTTATCTGTCTTTTTACTATGTTTCCTTTTATACACATATTCCCAAGGGCTCCAGTACAGCCACTGTGCACCATATGGCATGAGTGCTGGCATCCAGGGATGCGGGCCCTGGACAGGAATTGCTGCCCCCATTCAGTGCCTAAAGGTAGGATGTGAGGAAGGTACCACGGTCCTGTTGTCAGGTGAGAGCTGGGGTGAGAAAGACAATTCCTCTGCATCCGCCTCTTCTC